ATAAATAACAGGATAAGGCAGGATATGGAAAGATGGAATACATATTTGTTAGGATTTAGTGACAGGATAAATGTGATAAAGATGAATATCTTACCACGATTGCTATACTTATTCCTCTCTCTTCCGATAAGCATACCTCAAACCCAATTCTCAGAATGGGATAAGTATATATCTAGATTTGTCTGGGGTACGATACACCACTTTACAGCTTACTAAGGAGAAAGGAGGAATGTCGCTTCCTGATTTAAAATAATATTTTCGTGCTGCACAGATACACCAGATAACATATTGGTGTAGTGATGATTACAGGGCTCGCTGGAAGGATGTGCAGCTCTCCACACTCAATGTGCCAATTCAAACAAACATGGGTATAAAAACCCTGAATACGTAACTGAAGACCAAGATAGGAACCCGATAATATCCTTTACATTAAATGTATGGTATGATACAGTAAAGGAGCTCAGAATTGGTAAAGAGCCTTCGATGAAGAATTTAGACCAGGAAACTGGATCTTGGTTTTAAAAATTGGAATGAAAAGGGAATCACAGCAATTTGTTTATTAATCAAAAAAGGAGAAATTAAAGGTTTTGAAGAATTAAAACGGGAATACAACTTAAAAAACAAGGATTTTTTCAGATACTTACAGGTGAGAGATTACTTTAATAAAAACATAAAAATAAAGGAAGACAAAATCCATCCTATTATAAAAATAATTATACTGGCATATAAAAGTGTTATTCCAAGAACAGCGTCTACCCTATAATGTTTGATGGAGTCAAGACAGGAATCAACTGTATATGTTAGAGTAAAATGGGAAAGAGAGCTGAGTGAAGGAATCACTGAGAGGGATGAAACATGGAAAGAACATAAGAACACAGCTCAGTCATTAAAGTGGAGAAATTCATCTGGAAAAATCAAATTCGCTACTTTATTACACCTGAGATTAAAAACAAACAAACCAATACACAACAACAGTGTTGGAGGCTGTGTGATGGGATGAACCACACACACATTTTCTGGAAATGCAGGAAAATTCACACTTTCTGGGTCAAAATTCCCTCAGCTCTCTGTGATATATCAGGCTATATAATTCCCAGAACCTGCCTTGTTTTGTATCTTGGATACTTGGCAGGTACTGTAGATGTAAAGGATCGATACCTGGCTCAGATTCTCCTCCTGGCAGCAAAGAAGGCCATCACCAAAACCTTAAGACAGAGACACCAGGAAAGCAGCAGTGGCAGCAAGTGTGGAGGACATTATGGAGATGGAGAACTTTACATATGAGCTGAAACTGAAGGAAGAACGCTTTTTGAAGGACCGGGGAAAATAGTTAACGTACAACAAAAATCCAGAGCTGAATGAAGAAAAAAGAGAATTTGAAATGAATGATTGAAATGTTTGACACCACAGGCACGTTTCCTTTTCTTCTTCTTCTTCTTCTGCTTTATCTTATTTTTCTAATTATCATTATATTTGTATATATATTTATATATATACATTGTTCGTTCCTCTGCCTTTTTTTCTTTCTCCTTATGTTTGTGACTGTTTTTCTGAAGAAACTGTTTGTGTATTAAACAGGAGAGTTGTTCAAATAAAACGTGCTGTTGTTAGGATGGTTGTTGACATGCTGTTTGTGACGCCATGGGAGGGTCCGGGCTCTACGTTGCGTCTCCAGGACGTCTATGGCTGTAATGACTCATGTTTAGACCATGTGTGAACGTGAACACAGAGCTGAGAGGCTTCGTCTTTGTGACTCTCTGCAGCGCTCTGCTCAGCCGGCTGCAGCAGCTGCAGTGTCACTTCACCTGGGATCTGAAGAAGGAGGACGTGGACGTGGAAAACCTGAGCACCCGACTGCAGGAGCACATAAAGCTTCAGCTTGGGCAGCGCGGGGCAGTGACTCGATCTTACAGCTATTTGGCTTATGTCAGGTACAGTTGCTCAGTGAGCAGTCTGATGAGACAAGATCTGACAAAACTTACTTAAACATCAGTTGTGATGAGCTGTTGATCCTCAGGTATCTTCAGGACCAACGAGAGGAAGCGCTGTCACTTCTAAACCAATCAGAGGAGACCATCAGGGAGAGTTATGGTGACGAGAGTGAGAGGCGGCTCACTGTGACATATGGAGACATGGCCTGGCTGAAATACCACACCGGAGACCACGAACAGTCACAGAGCTACTGCCAGAGAGTGGAGGACATCCTGGTACGTACAGCACCCGTCCATCCAGCTGGCCCGCCATCCTCCATTTCTGCTGCTTATTTCTGTTGGGTCGTAGCAACCTAAGACAACCTCCTCTAACTCATCTGGGGGGACACTGAGGTCTTTCCAGATATAATCCTTCCTGGGACCTTCTAATAGAACATGTAGCACCAGGAGGCCTTCAAAGGGTTTCCTGCTCAGATGCCTGAACTACCTTAACTGGCCTGTTTATAGTTAGGGCTGGACCAGGTGACCCTGACTCCTCCCTTACTGATGCTGCGATAGGTGTAGGCTGCCGGGGATTCCCATGATGCACTGGGTGTTTCTTCTTCACTCACTATGTATTAACAGACCTCTCTGCTGTCTCTCTTCCACAGCATGTCTTTATCCTGTCTTCCTTCTCTCAGTCCAACCAATCACAGCAGATGGCCCCGCCCCTCCCTGAGCCTGGTTCTGCTGGAGGTTTCTTCCTGTTAAAAGGGAGTTTTTCCTTCCCACTGAGGTCTAGCAGGACAAGCACAGAGATGAGTCCACTGTCAGAGGCCATAAGAAGATCATTTGTAACCTTCACTAAAGCTGTTTCTGTGCTGTG